ACCCAAAAACACCGACCCATAATCTTACCTAACAACACCGTCAACTCAGCGCCGGAAACACCAATCACGGAGGGCAATGTAATTGTCGCTCCACTGCAACAGCCCAACCCAATGCACACACACGAGGTAAACCCCACAAACCCTCCCTCAATCACAATACCTCTGCAGACAATACGCACACAAAAAGAACTACAGGCATTTCAAAGGATTACCAGACGCCAACGACTCGCACTACTACTCCCATTCCCACTACCGTCCAACAAACTCAATACCCATAAAAACATCACGAGGTACATCTTGCAAGCACATAAGACGTCCAGGAGAGACAACGAGAAACGATGAAACCCACAAAAATACAAACGCCTAACGCTAGGAGGAATCCACCATGCTCACAACAAATGCAAGCCTTCTGTAACTACACACGTACCATCATTCAAATACGCGGCATTCAACTCGTACACACCCAACACGAAAAGACAGCCGTACTTCTATACAAGCAACACAAGAAATATTTACACAGCTTCACCCGCAATGAAAGCCCCACTGCCCAACAACCCCTCACTGAGTCGACAACTCCGGACGATATCGCGGCAAAATGGCAAGCATTCTCACAGGTATCAGCCACCTGCGCATTTCACCAAAGCACGACGACAGTCCTACCATCTCAAGAGACAATATTCAAACCGGAAAACAAACACAACACGAGGGAAAAACCACTAGCCTCACAGCAAATCCGAATGTTACGCAGCCGACGCACGCATTACCACCGCCAAAGGTGACATCTCAACAGCCCACAACTCAGAGGCACACCTCACACGACGAAAAATACAACTGCGCTATTTCCACCGAATCCAGCTGGCGTCGTCCAAACACAAAACGCAAGGTCGCAACGCAGCAAGCCCATACAACTCCACACAAACAGAGGGCCCATCGCCTCAACAATCCTTCTTCAAGTCAACATCACCGAGTATCACGGTTGAAGATCATCAGATATCTTTACGAATAGCAGCTACCTGCCCATGACACACCTACCGTCACCTCGTATATCGAACGCGCCCGGGTCCACTACCCGCAGCCCCAACATGGATAATTGCAAATAAGTTTCCGCAACTACGAACGGCCAAGCAGATGAAAATCAACTATCCAACCTAGTATCAAAAACCCAACATGAGGAGGAAACAAAGTGCAACCGAACCATAAAAATAGTCACCTGAAGACGACAACCGCACAGCCACCACGCAGACCAACCCTTCAACCCAAACGCGTGACGACTGTGTCCTCGCATGGAAACCGATAACTTCTTTGTCAATAGAGGTTCCCTTCCATCATATTCGCAGGCTATCCTCACCCAAAACGATCCGCCAATTCCTCGGCGCACTAATGCCTGGCGCTTCTCCAATGCGCCTCGTCAACCATCCGCAAACATTTCCTCACCACAGCAGAATTTCATGCACCTAGTAGTCACATACTCCTCCTCTGCACTCTTCTCCATCCTTACAATCTTCGGCTGCTCCCGCTTCTTAGTCTTCTTCCTCTTCTTCTAGAGAAAGGAGAAGTCAATAATACACGCAAGCACTTGCCAACACACCACTAGGAATTCACTTCACTGAACACACGATCAAAGCGATCCGCGAAATGCACATAAAATTCCAGCATGAATTCGGAAGTCAATTCACTAAGTGCACCTCCTTTCCTCGCGTTCTTCCTAACATCACCGATGCAGAATTATAAGGAAAATGGCCAAGTAACAAGAACGATTATAAGAAAAAATATCAATATAAAACCGCCATTGTTCAACTTTTTAATCAAAATCAAGATCAATTCTTGCTGATGAAAGGCGTTTCCACCTACAAACTGCATCGTGCGACACATGCAGACGCCAAGATGAGCATACAGGCTAGTACAGCAACATTTGGACTGCGTTAGCAGTTTGTGCAATGATGGAAACATAAACACATGTACATATTAGCAATAAAGTTTTATTTGGTAGATTTTTTCCGATATTGTCGTTGCGTCATAATTTCGCTATTAAAAAACATAACGGATTAGGAAATTTCTATTTAGAAATCAATATATGTTTAAGTTAGTAAAAAAGAACATTGTTGCGTCTTCGGGGCTTCCCATAGGGGGGAAGAAGGCACAAGTGAGGTTGGATACATGTGTTCCGAAGACAACAGGGCAAATGGGGCCTGAGCGTGGCCCGAAGGCCAGCCCACGTGTATAGAGTCAAGACAATCTAAAAACTGATCGCCAAACGTCAGGTAGTTATATTAACAAAGCATTACAAACATAGCTATCAATCCGGTCAAAGTACCTCCATTTTATTGCCATTTACTACAATCGTAGTTGTGTGCATGTTGGAATGCGTTCGCTTGTGATGAATGAGACTTCAAATTCGTTGGCTAACTAATTTAATTTAATAATATTTTTAAGGATGATGTTAAACTGCGTGATTGCTGCCGATTTACGTGGTTAATTTCATGCACTTTTCGCAAATACGGGTACGTCGCCATGCTTGCTACATGACATGACTGCATCCTGAATTCTTTGATGCCGCTCTCTAAGTGCGTGCATTTGTAGCTCTTCATAGTGCATTCCTTTGCTGCAAATTGCGGTCTTGCTACATTACAATGGTGAAGGTGGAAGGAAATCTCAACTGTAAACGACTGCAATGTCAGTTCCACTTGACAGTTAGCGGAGTCTACTATGTTAGTGAAGTACGTAGGTTGGGAGGTAGAATGCCTAACCATTCCACCGTAATAGAAGGGCTGACGATGACAACTGTGTCTCTGTCATCCATGTACTGCCCCGACAAGCTTTCTACAACTGAAGCTGATGAAGAATATGTAAAATAAACCTTTTTTCTCTCTCGTCTTCGTTTTCATCTTTTGATTTTTCAGACACCTTCGTAATCTGGTCGCGTATCCGTGTTGACTAAGGCATTACTCTGAAACCCCTTTCCTACCGGACAGTTATGCAAGAATGGTGTCTTTTCCGTTCTTTGCGCCTGAGACTAGTGATGAAAATGAACTGTTCTTGCGCCCGTGTTCCCACATTTCAGAATCATTGTAGACTGAATGGAAAGTTGGATTCGAATGCTGGTATGGCTGTGGATATATGGAGGGTGCCTCCACAGGCTTGTATAGTAGGTAGATAGTAAAGAAGGTTAGGTAGGTAGAAAGGGAAGGAGGTCTCAATGCATCTATGTCATATACCCCATCAGCTGGACAATTTTGACAAACAGATTTGTTGTTGTTGTTATTGTTGTTGTGTAACGTAAGCGGTAATTAATTAAAAATTGTAACTGGTAATGCAGGAAGGCGAAGCAGTTGGTCAGGTTTTGGTGACCACGAACTGAGCTGAGCTGAAATGGAGTGGAGTGGAGTGGAAAGAGGCAAAATGAAGGGGAGAGGAGTATGGAGAGGACGTAGAGACATAACGTTAAATGGAATGTTAGATGGATGGAGGGATGAATGAATGGATTGTGGTCATGATAGCTGGCAAAGAAGTGGCGTTTGGTAAAGAGCGCTCAACAACTGACAACAATAATGGTGAGTGGTAAGGAAGTGACCAAGAAGAGCGTTGATGTTAGAAGAACGACGTAGCGACACAAAGACGAGGAGGAAGGGGCATTAAATGGTGGTGTGGAAGAGATGCCACTTATTTGGCTACTGCACTACAGCTGCACTAAGTTGTTCGCATTCGGTGTAGCATTCTCCTCTGCAAATGCATTACTACAGTCATCTGGACACACATACGCACTTCTCGCATTCAAATACCGTGTGTTGCTGGATTGTTACTGTTACTGGAGCAGCGACTGCAACAAATTACACCAACTCACGCTCTACACCCATCAACACTACGAGGCCAACAACAGCAACAAACGCGACATCATATTCACAGCCGTTGCATTTCCACTTCAAATTACGTACCTCATTAAACGCATGCGACTTGGCGAGACCATCACGCTGACACAGGAAGCCTCCCTTCACTAGATGAGGTGACGACCGTCATCACAAAGTCAACAAGGAAAAGGAAGCAATGAACAGATGGAGGGAACCCAGCCGCCACTTTAGCTACCACATCGAGTCTACCCGCCAGCCAGCCCATCCGTCGGAGGCAAATAACCGACCCACCAACATATCCCTTCCATCACTCCTACCAGCAAAACTAACACAGCCACGCGCTATATTGGACGAAGTACTCGACACCAGGCGGTAACCCATGTTCCAAACAGTCATGCTGACAGTGAAGACGCAACAAGGAATCGCAACTGCAACCCATGTAACTGGACTGTACCAAAGCGTGAGGAGCAGTGCGTCCACTCACACTAAGCAACTCATCCATCGCTGCGAGGAAAGTATACAGAAGTCGTGGAGAGAGCAAAGGAGGACAATCAGACACCCGCTCAACGTACACACACGGAAGAACGCACCCAGCATTAAGAAATCTACAATTGCAGACACTACCACCTGTGCCACACACGCATTCTTCCCCACTACGCAACCCTTTCATCCCTATCGCGGGCTCATAAAATCAACAAAAAGCAAACAACAACAATGCCGTAGTGCGCCATCTCCTGCTTACTATGTTGGGCGATGCAAATGCAACTTAGGCGAGCAAATGCGTAGAAAAACGATAGAGCGTAAATCTAGTATAGAAACAGTCAAGTTAATTGAGGCACATCTTCTTCACTTGCCCCTCAACACCATTCCGCCTTCACGGAAGAGGGCACACCTACATCCTTCACGCCATCCTCATCCTCCTCTTCGGCTTGTTGTCTAATGACAAAATGACGAGTGCTACCACTGCCTCCCATCCTGCCCGTACTGACGACGCACGCCATCCACCACAGCTCCCTCCGTCTCCTAAATTCCATCACACACCACTTCCAACGGCAGCAGCAGCGTTTGGTTGCAGCGCCAGAGCAAGCACCCATCACCGCCGGATCCCTCTTCACAACCACGACGGCAGCATATAGGTGTCCACACGCGCACACCACTGCGACCTACAAAGGGGCAACAAAATACAATAGCAAGGAAGTGGCTTATACGTTACCACTACTAATATCGCTCAGTCAACTCGCTTTCAAACCCAACTTTAACCATCCTCTACCCATCAGAACGCAGTACACAGAGGCAGGAGAGACACCATTAGCTCTCTCCTTTTCGCACCATTATTAGCGCACTGGAGAAATAACACAAAATGATACAGGACAGAAATGCAAGTCTGGCAAATCAAGGTACCATAAAAGAATGCTAATCGCAACCACAACAAGCTAAGCCCCCACAGATAAATCAATACTCACGTAAAATGCAAATGGTCAGTCCACAGCGGTTGAAGAATTGCTTTCCAACCTCATGTCCCATGTCTAACTAACACAACAGCGAAAATTAAAATGTGCAACTACAAGCACCCGCGCTAAAAGGTATTACACACCAATGGGATGCCAGCATGCGACCTAATGGCACATATCCTGGCCACTTAAAACAAATCAAAAATTAAAATTTCTAAGAAACGCTAAATAAGGTAACAAATCTTCTACAAAATATAACAGAAAATAAATATCGAATAAGCTTAGGTAAAGATTTATGTTCAAAAGTTAAAACCTTCACAAACTCACATATGTAGTAGTAATAGAATAAATGGGTGCAGAGCCTGACTTGATAATTTGCGTGTAGTGTTCCGAGACCTCCCATGGGGTGGTGAAAGATATAAGTGAGGTTGAACACATGTATTCTGAAGAAAACAGGACAAATGGGCCTGGGCATGGCCAAAGGCCAGTCCACGTGTACAGGGACCAAACAACTTCAGAAGTGACAATCAAACGTCAGGTAGTCACATAAATAAGGCATTACACTGCCCATCCCTTCTTTCGCTCAACGTTCTCGCACTTCCCTTGGGCACATCTCCCGCGCCAGCCATCGCAATATATTCGGTACTATATGACAGCACCCACGAGCCAAACGCGTCAGTCGACAGACGAGACTGAGGAACCATACCTGGTCTTTTCGGCAGCTTCAACTGGATTTGGAGTTACGTTCGGTCCGACAACCAGGTTTGGGGCCGCATACACCTGTTGACCATCAAGTGCTTCCAGGTATAGACGATGGAACTATGGTCTAAAAGATACTTTTACAGGAAAAACGGGATGAGACACTGCTCCGTATGCGAGGAGAACCGTGGTATCATTTACAGCAGCTTAACATGGATTTTGTATGGGAAATTCCGACACGAAACTTTTCCAGAAAGTTCGCGGCGGTGTCGCTTCACAGTTGTTAATAGCTCATCTGTGGAACACGGGAATAAGGTGAAACCAAATGCAGACGTCAGTCTAAATCCTTTCGTTGTGAAGGATTCGGGAATTCGCCCGTCACCTACAAGTTGCGTCTTCCTTTCGCCTGTATCTCCATCTATTTCACTTTGATAGAGTCAGACTTCCACGCATGTATAGCTCATGATTGCCAATGCACAACGCCAAAAAGCGTTCATTAATCTTGGATTTCTCCACCAAAAAGTAGAAGTTCTTTGTTGTCCTGTCTGC